CACCAGAGTGCTGAATTGGAGCTGAAATCTCTGCGATTGATATTGGCACACAAAGAAAGGCTGTCAGAGCTGATTGGCAAAATCAGGGGCAAACAACAGGGACCATCACAGACAAAGAGGAAGGCGAAAGCAAGACGTGAGCAGAAGCTGAAGGAAGAGGAAGTGTCTGCTCTTCAAAGACAGGGGTGAGAAGAGTGTGATTTGTTTTGCTTTGTGCCTTGTGAGTTTCATTACTCGTGGCCTGCAAAACAAACTTTTGCCTGCTGTTTGGCTCAGACAAATTTTTCAAAGAAAACTAACTTGCAAAATTGTGTTACACTATTTAAAATTCTTTACAAAAGTTCAAGTATCTGTACATAGACTGAAGTTTCTGAGAAAATGTCTGAAAATCGATCTAATACCGGACTTTTTGAAAATTAGGGTCCCCGAGAACGGTTTTTTTGGACCAAGCTGTGCATAATTTTCAATTGAAACTACTAAGGACTGAAATTTCTAGGGCAAATGAGGATAAAAAAGGTACGAGGAGATGCTAATAAAAGCAAGATCACTGGTGCAAAAAGAAATTGACTAACAGTGGTGGGCATCCATTTTCCTCTTCGTGAGGCGTCAAGTTGAGGCAAGCTTAAATACAACATCAGAAAACCATAGAAAAAAGTTAGAAAAACGGTCCGAGAGACAAGATAAGCCTCTTGGGGGGAGAAATGAGCGATCAGTTAAGGTACTTGATATTATTGAACTGCCAGAATGAGTATATGATGTGCTATCAATGGGCCCGAAGCATCCCATTAGAAACAGTTTTAACGAAACACACTTTTTGGCGGATATCGACATTTTCCTCTCACAATTGAAAAATCAAAAAACATCTGGTGAAACGTTATGTGATATAGAAGCCGCGGCAAAGTCATATGCAAAAAACGTAAGGCAAACCCCAAGAGACAAAGTCGTTGAAAAAACGAGGAAATATCTCAAAGATAATGGGTTGCTAGCTGTGCCTTTTGATAAGGGGGTTGGTTTTTGCATAATGAGGAAACAAACGTATGAATTAAAGCTGGAATCCTTGTTGTGAAAAAAGACGCAACCACTGATGAGGTTATATTGAAAATTGAGAAGGAACTTAACAAAGAATTACTAGCCATGAACAAAAGAGACGAGATAAGTGATCAGTTATATTCTAAGATGAGGTCAACAGGGGGCAACCCGCCCGTTTGTACGGTTTAGCTAAGGTACACAAGGATGAGACACTCCGTACCACCAGTACTATCACTTCCAGGCAGCTCGTATGAGAATCTTAAAAAAATGCTTGCAAAGTTTTTGACAACATCGATGGAGCAAATATAGAAAGAGGCTAGAGAAACAATTGAAAACATTGCTCTAGATCCGGATGAAACCATAATATTTCTTGATGTGAAAAGTTTGTACACCAACGTTTCCCTGAAGGAGGCAATTGAAATTGCTTTACAGAAGCTGTACAGCCAGGAGCTTCCTCCTGAAATTCAAAGAGCAACCATGAAAAGGCTTTTGAATATGGCGGTCAGCAAAGTATATTTCAAGTGTAATGATTCATGATATGTACAAGTTGATGGTTTAGCAATGGGCGCGTCTCTCGCTGTAATTCTGGCAAATTTACGGCTGAAAGAGTACGAGTATGCTCTAAGACAAAAAATACCGGTGGGAACGGAGGTAAAGCAAATTTATGACAAGAACGGCTTGTGCCCATGTTGCAGCAGGAAAGTCATATATAGATCAAAGGGGGTTGAATGCAAGAGTTGCCAAAACTGGTATCATCTAAAATGCGGGAAAAAATCCGATGACTTATACGCATCAATAACTGAGATAGTCTGGTACTGTGAAAGCTGCTTCCGAGCTAAGAACAAGGAGAAGGTTACTCGCCGGGTGAAATTGTTCCTCAGGTACGTGGATGACATTGTTAGAACAGACAGAGGGGAGCCGAGTTGTCTTCTCGATGCCGCCAATTCTCTTCATCCAAATTTACAGTTCACTCTAGAGAAAACTAATTCGGAGGGGAATTTGCCGTTCCTGGATTTGAGCATAAATGTATCGCAGGGTAGGCGTGTAACTTGCAGTTGGTATCAAAAACCAACAGATACAGGGACTATACTGAACTATAGAAGCTGCGCCCCAACTTAGTATAGCGGAGTGTTATCCAAGGCACTGTACACAGGGTTTTTAGGAGTACATCTAGCTGGGAGGAATTTGATAAGGCTATGGAAACTAATAGGGCGCAATGGCTGACAAATCAGTACCTTGAAAATTGGTCCGCAAAGGTGGCTTCAGACGCCTTGTGCGAGATCATCGAGGGTAAGGGCAAGCCCCTGGATAGTGAGAGGGTTTTTCCAGTTCAATCACCAAAGGATGTGAAGTCCCCAATGCTAATGGTGCAATATTGAGGTGACCAGAGCCAATATTTCGCTAACAGGTTGCCTAATTTAACTAACGTTCAAGTGGTTTTCACCACAAGAAAACTAGAGTCATGTTTATCATCACTGAGGTCAGCATTTTCTAATGACCTCAAGTCAAGAATGGTTTAAAAACTGTCATGTAGTGGATGCACTTCCACCTTTGTCGTACAAGCTGTTCGACATTTGACCACTAGAATTGAGGAACATAAGAAAGCAGACTCACCGGTAGGCCTCCACCTTCAGCAATGCCAACTTGAGGCAAATAGCGCAGATCATAGTTGGGCAATTGTAGATAGGTCAACCAACCAAAAAAATTGCTAACTTTAGCGGCAATACAAATCAGGAAAGAAAAACCGGGCTTGAACACGCGCGATGAGTTTAGGAGCAGGGAGTTAACACTGAAAACTTAGTCCCAAAATAATTTTGGTTTTTTATTTAGAACGTACAAGTCTAAATCGAAATTATGACTCAGAAACTTCCAGACAAATTTATTCTAAAATGTTTAATTAATTCTAGAGATTAAAAGTATTTTAATCTTAATAATAATTTAGAGGTCAACTGTGATTGGCTAATTTTTTATCATGATGGTTTAGAACCAAATTGTATGTAATTTATTGTAAATAACATTTGTAAATTGATGTTTTAACGTCAATTACATTAGTTTATTGTAAAAATCCTGACGATGGAAACTGATCAAAGTCGTTTTGGCTGATGGCCTAAAAATGGTAACTTTTTACTTTGCACTTAACAGACCAGAGAAATAACTGGCTAGGTCTAGACGGTTGAAACGAGTATAATTAAGGTAACTGACGTCAGCCAGTCGTCAATAGGTACTTTTTCTACGCTCCGTCACTGAAATGTTTGGTCGAGTGTTACACTGACCCGTGAGCCAATGGTTGTAGTGCCTATTCTTCTTAACCTCATTTGTGACATAAGCGGACGACTGTTACAATAAATAGTGATTTTGATATTTTTGACACGTTATTAATGAATTTTCCATAAAAAAGTTAAAATATTTCGACTTTGGCCAATGGCCTTGTTTTAAATTTCGACTTTGGTAAATGAAAAAATAGCAAACACTCACGAACTTCCTATTTATTTTTTTCATGGTTACAGAGTTTTGTTAATAGAAAATTTTGCATCCTCTTAGGCCGGTAGGTTTTTCTTTCTCCGTTGCAAAAAAAAACTAGGTAATTTCATTTTTGAGCAACGTATTGATATTCGATATTTCAAGTCAAATATCGAAGAATATCGATATATCGATACTGTCAAGATTTCGATATCCGATATTGACCTACTACGTTAAATCGAATTCCTTGTTCAGGACGCTCTGAGTTGAATTTTGGTTCAAACTCAATCCTTTCGCTGTGAAAGAGATACGGGACAAGTCTTACTTCACCTTGATTGGGGTTAATCTAATCGCAGCTTTGAGAGAACTCGCTCCAATGAAGTACCCCATTAACAAATCTTCAGCCACTAAGCTAGAGGCGTAAGACTTGCTAATATTGTTCGATATATTCAGTCCTCTAGCTCAATTAATCTGATACCACACGTTATGTGAATGGGTAATGGACAAATCTACTTAATAAGTTAATCTTAACAAATATCACAACAAGTATCACAACTTCGTTTTGTGATTGATACAATTTTCGAATGCTGAAAATGAACCCCGCAAGGATCTATTGAAAAAACATAGGTTTGAAAATAAATTTAGGTTTGAAAAAAAAAACTATTTTTCTCATTTCTCTATTTCCTGCTTGAAAAGCAACATCAATCAATGTCCTCTTTGCTACAGATTGAGTGTCATTCGTCTTCTTGGTCTATCGCTTCAATCGGTTGTGGCATCGCTGAGCTTCGTCTCTGTGAAAAGATCGTTTCCCCATCCACTTGTTTTGGGTCGCATGTCATGCGAAGTGCCGCATCGCTTCTGTTGAAGTTGATCTGTAATGAATGTGAAAGGAATCGAAAGCTGCCAATTAAAATAATGATAAAAGGCATAGTTTTTCAAAATAAGCAAAATTATTCAACTCCCTAAATTTAACGCGTAAAGTAGAATCTGATTGGATAGTATTTGATTTGGTTTAACCATTCTTTTTTAGGTTATTTTAAAACAACCAAAGGATGCATTTAGCTGAGCAGACTTCGTAAATTGACTTTGTTTGTTCATCGGAGTACGAATTAGTAACTTTATAAACAAATTGCTTGGTTTCGCGCATTGTGAAATTCGATCTCTAGAACCATTTCGATCTCTAGAACCGCTAGAAAATTGCAACCATTTCAATTTTAATCAATTCTTTATTCGGGTATGTCAACTGGTATGGCCCTATTCAGCTTGTAACTAAACGGAAGGGCCACTTTTGTAATCTACACTTTATTCGGGTTATTTTCCCTTAAAGCCACAGGAAAGTGTGTATGATAGCTTTTTTTATAGAGGGACGGTTGTTACCGTTGTCGCGTTGAAATTGTTTGATAAGAAATTTGAAATGTTAATTTTAGAATTTTCACAAATTTTGTGCATCATCAGGATATAAATGTTTTAAAAAATATTTACAAAATGACCCAATGTGAAAAAAAGTGACAAACACGTCTAATACCAGTTGACATGTTCAATCATCTGGTTAACAGGAATTAATCTGAAGTTGTTATTTTTAGAAAATTGATGGCAAGTTATCGTGAGTAAAGAAATTTCTTTATTATTTCTACGATTGACAGATTTCTCGATTAGTGTGTTTTTCAATATAGACTTGAATTTTTATGGTTTGATTTTTCAGGAGATCAATTGCCAAGTGAGGTTTTGGCATATTTTGACGCTATTGATGAAAAGGTTAAGGCCTTTCAAGAAGCTACGTCAAAAATTGCAGATGAGCCAGTAAACCAACAGGTGAACTAACTTAAGCAAATTACTGCCATGCTTGATTTCATCAGAATTGACTATGAAAGATCTGATGTTTTAGTGCGGTATATTCGTGGAAACTTTCACTGATGTCATACCTCGTTACCTGTTGCTGGCTCAAGCTTATTCTGCTCCAGCTCCAGTACGTAAAATGATAAATCTCTTTTCGTGCATTTACGCATGTTATAGCTGGGCTCGCAATGAATTTTTAATCAAACAATTCATTGCCATAGTTTAAAAAAAATTTTTTTTTGATATTGAGAAATGCCAATTTAAATTAGTGAATTGGTTCTTGCCAGTTAATTGCAATAAGTGGTGTTTCAGAAATTTCGAGTTTTTTTCTGCTGCAGCTCTGTGAACAGACTAAGGAACTGCCTTTTTACCCTTACAATAAGCAAGGGTATTACAATCGGCTACTAGACTTTTTTCCCGTAAACAACTTTGTCCACAGGATGACTAAAATTTGGTCATCTCCAATTGTCTCTATTCTCTATTTCTACTAAAGGTGCACGTCTAGTAGCTGTAATTCAAAAGCTGGCTTCAACCTCTAAAGTGATAATTGTTTTATAGCTGAAAAAGATTTTTAGGATGCAAGTTGATTTTTTGTCGGCTTTATTGATTTCGACCCATTTTTTGTCGGTTTACTTGCCGGGTAATTAATTCTGTAATTTTTGGTAGATTCTTGATACTTTTTCTTAATTTTTATGAACGTGAATATAGTTAATGGTTTTCTGGTTTTTATAGGCCCAAAATTTTCTCTTAGAAAAAACAAATTTTTTTGAATTTTTTCGCTAGAATTTTTTTGCAAATAAATGTTTTTTTTTTTTTTGGGTGCATGGTTTCTGATTTTTTTGTTGTTTATAAGTCCTTGAAACTAGTTATAGTTTTAATCAATTAGGTGTGTTTTAGATTTAAGCAATTTTATTAGAAATTGATTCAAAATGATGGTTTAACGTATTGTTTCAATTTGTCAAAAAAATTGATAAATTTCCAGATTTTTTTTTCAATTTTGGCTCGACTTGGGCTTTTCAACTTTTCGTTTATACCACTCTCAATTGAAACCATTCCTTTCCATTCATTGTTGTGATAAACTTATTAAATAGTGTGTCTGTTCAAATTTACCTTGTGTAATTTCAATAAATGTGCTGGGTTTTCCTCACTGACTTCTTATCTTACCAAATCTCGCCGTCCCAGCCGTAGGCGAGTGAAGTTTCCCTGGCGTAACTAGACGCAAGGAGTGAGCTGGCGAATCGACCTCCAAAACGACGTCAGGTTGTACCACTCCTTACACTTTTTCTTTTTTTTTCTCCATCGACCAATTTTAAATCCTAATTGAATATATTCATAAATCAACCTCAAAGAGCTTCTTTTCTTGCCCCAGTTGTCTGTGTTTCAGGTAGATGCCGCGATTCCAGGCAAGACGCATTCCTGAGTTTTCACAGAAACTAGCTATCGGGACTTGAAGGACAATTATATCAAACCAGCGCTAGTAAAATCAACAATTCACTCCTACCGCGGCGCAACGCTATACGATCTGTTTGAAACAGTTTTGCAATACAGACCAAAGCGCCTAGATACAGTAACAATAGTTGCTCCATAAGATGACAAAAGGCTGCATCCACAAAAGTTAGACCAGCAGTGGAAAAACTTGATTAACCTCGTCACTAACAAGTTTCAGCCCAAGACACTAATCATCCCAAAAACTATTTAGAACTGTAATAATTCTGAAGTAAACAGCAAAATTTATATTCATAATCATGTGTTGTTTAATTTGATACATAGATTTGTACACCCACATATACTTATTGTTTCACCTAATTTCAACCTTAATCTAACCCCTTAAATGTTCTGCCGTGATGGTATCCATTTATCGTTCTACGGTATGATTTCTTTACTAATTTTCTTGCAAATTTAATCTATAAATTCTCTCGCTAACTTGACACCGCCGTCCTTACTCAAATGGCTACTCTAACACTGCCTTATTTGTGAAAAAAGCTTGTCAGGCGGAGATGTTTGGCGCTTCACATGCCTAGGCTACATTTATGTTAAACGAAATGCAGCGGCCCAGCCCGCAGCAGTAATTACTATGACGATTTCAGCTGTCATCACTGCACCTCCCAATTTCACGCAGCTAACGACACACATGAATGCAATCCCCCATCCCTAGCTACAACCATGCTCCGCAACTCCACCCTCACCCTTCCACTGCCGCACACTCACAAAACTCAACAAAAAAATGGCTACCAAAGAACTAAATTCAGAACCAACGAAACCATATAACGCATGTAGATACGCTTAGATAAGAATCAAGGCGTAAGACCCATAGGCGTAGGAGAAGTTTTGCATAGAATAATAGGACGAACAATAGCCAAATGCTTAAAAAACGAACTCATGTCGCTCGGTTTAAACTACCAACATTGTCTAGAACAAAAATGTGGCATGGAATATGCGACCCACACCACACGCTAAGAGATTAATACAGCAAAACCTCCGCCGATTCTGTTTCACTGATAGATGCCGGAAACGCGTTCAACTCGCTAAATCCAAAGCTGGCTTTGAAAAACTTCGAAAATACATGCCCATCTCTTTTAACAGCAATTAAGAACTCGTACTCCAATCCATCTAAACTGTTCGTTAAAAAAAAACCATCTACTCTCAAGAAGGGACAACCCAGGGGATCCACTAGCAATGGCTATGTATAGTCTAGCCATAATACCCATCATAAAACTTTTATCAGTAGACAACGTAACCCAGAAAGGGTACGCAGACGACGGAAACGCCGTCGGTAAATTAAGCAATTTACGAACCGTCCTCGATAAAATTGTATCACCAGGTAAATTTTTTGGCTATCATGTTGAAGCTGAGAAAATTTTTGAAATTACAGGAATCACTATGAAAGCAGGCGCCCGAGTGCTTGGTTCAGTTATAGGAACAGAAGTTGAATGTAGAAAGTTCCTCGAGTTTCAACAGAATGAGCAAATCAAGTTTTGAAAAACTAACGAAAATCGTTAAAACCTCCCCCAAAACGTTTATGCCTGCTATAGCAAAGGAGTTCAAGGAAAGCTTTCATTTCTAAACAGGACAACGCCTAACGGAAATTTTAGAAATATGTGAAAAGATTATCAAAGAACAACTAATACCTAACCTAGTCGGTAAAGACACCTCGAACCCTCAGTTCCGTAAGATAACTTCCTTACCCCTTAAAACTGGCGGCCTTAACATCAAGCTGCCATCCGACCATGAAAGCTATCTAAAATGGTCTAAGGAAACATCACTCGTACTGGAATCTCAAGATCCTGTTACAGCAATAACACAGCAAGAAAAAAATTGTACCAAAATCAAAAAATTGAAAACTGATAAAATAAACCGAAAGAAAACAAACCTCATTAAATCCTTAATTGAAACAGATAAATACGCAATTGACCTGGCCTCTGAAAAGGGAACTTCTAACTAGCCCAATGCTTTACCACTGAGCAGATACAACTTCAACCTGAGTGAATCAGAATTCAGAGATGATATTTACTTGAGACAGATGGGAACCGTCCAAAACCCCACTCTCGTGTGCATGTGGGTTAATTTTAACTTGACACATGCCCTACACTGTGCAAAGGGCGGTTACAAACACATTAGACACAATGAAGTTGGAGACACATTCGCCAACCTCATGAACGAGGTTTGCTATGACGTCGAGATTGAGCCGAAACTTCAGCCGTTGCAAGGCGAAAGCTTTGTCGACAATTCAACTGCAACTGAACATGAGGCGCGGGTTGACACTAAAAGCAAACTGACTCTAGTGTTCACGATTTAGTCGTGCTTTCTTTGATGCAAAAGTATTCAACACGCATATCAAAACTGCATAAAGACGCATACGAATATCACGAAACGCCGAAGAACTCCAAATGTCAGAAAAGAATTTTAAACGTAGCGCAGGGTAGCTTCTGCCCGCTAATTTTTGGATGCACCGGGCACTGCTCAAAGAGCCACGCAGACGATGCAGCGATAAGCCGAAAAACTAAGTGAAAAAAGACAAGAAAGCTACCCTGCATCGATAAACTGCATATGAACTAAAAAAGGTTCGCGCTCCTGAGGAGCTCTATACGTTGTATAAGGGGGTGCAGATCGCTGCACAAAGTTCAATTTATCGACAACTGCATTAGCGCTATTGTAGAGAAAGGACGGTTAAGACAAATTAACATTACGACGATGCATTTAATGCTGATTTATGACTTCATTGATAAGATGAAACAGTTTGCTGATATATTTGCTTTTTTATAACGCTGGTATGGCCCTATCCAGCTTGTGCACTTACCTTAACTACACGGAAGGGCCTCTTCTTGTAATTTAGTTCTTGGCGTTTTTTCTAATGTTTTTTTTTGTTGTGATCAAGCTCTTTCACCGTCGCGTATAATTTTCATAACTGATAATTCTTGTTGTACTTGCGTTATTTTCATAGGCTTTCAGAGTTTTTCAAGTTTTTTTGCGGCAATTGTTTGTAATTTTTACATTCATGTGTTTAATTTTTTTTTTCATTTTGAATAGGGCCTTTATCCCCGATTGTTCTCACTGAATATGCAGATTGTTTGATTGCAAGATTTAATGAGCAGTTTTTGAGTAAATTTAGGAATGATTGTATCACAATTTTTTTTACCGATATGCCTTCTGATCATTTTCATCAATTGGTTATCAGAAAGAAATGGATTGAGTTAAGCCCAAATCCTTCTTTTGTTTTGAAGGTATTTGACTTCTATAACAATTGCAATACAATTTTTTCTGTCTTTTGAGACTACGATTTCTTTAAACTTCATTCATGTTTTTCAGTTTTAGTTTAAGACACATTATCTATTGGTTTTTGGAGCTCTTTTTGTGTATCACAAGTGGTGCGAAGCTCAGCTTCACCTCTGTGTACGAAAATTGAATTTTGTTATTAATATTACTTTTGCGTAGTTATTTATTGTTACGTTTGCAATCAGCAAGCGTTATAAAATCGGAATGTAGACCTTTTTTCGGGTTAACAATAAGTTGAATAAAATGTCATAAATAAAAAGTAAAATGATCAGCTTACTTTGTTAGTATATCAAGTTCGTGGATTCAATTTTGCGCGTTTAGCATGGAGGTAACGAGCATGCCTAGAGCGAAAAAGGTTAAAACAACAAAGATTAGAACGGCGAAGGTTCGAATCCACTTAGTAACTGTTTTTTTTTAAAGTGATTTAAGTGTTGTTCACTATTATTTAATCGATTTGGGTTACGTTGCAATTGATTGAGTTCAAAAAATTTGCTGATAATTTTAACCTTGATTGGCGGCTGGTCCTAAGTTTTTGAAAGCATAATTTTTTTACTATAGTCATTTGAAAAATACATGAATGCCTTGAAAACTCATTTTTCGCATATAGATTTCCGCTTGTTTGATTTTGTTAAGTGAGGTTTTATGAACAATAAGTGTAAGAGAATGGCTAGATTGCACTTACTCTTGTAATGCTTTTGTTGCAGTCGTTTTTTACGCTCTTCTTCTGGCATATATGTTTTTAACGCAAGTGATGCGAAGCTCCGCTTACTCTCAGTATCGTAATTATTGATCCAAAATGAAAGTAAAAATGTGCATTTTATTTAGAAGCAGCATAAGGTGGGAATCATTTAGTCAGTTTTTGCAATCAAATAAAAGATGAAGTTCGAAAAAAATCATTAAGTAGTTCATTTTTTTTTTCATTACCCTAGAATGCAACATTTTTCATTTATTAGATATATAGCAACTTGATTGTTTTGGGACTATTTTTAAGCAATGAGGGAACCCAGCTAACATGATTGTTTGTCAAAAACTATTAATTGATTTGATTCTGTCGGCTTAGTTGCTAGTTTTTCATTCTAAATCTTTTGAATCTATTTGGAATGTAAAAACCCATTCTCCATTCTTCCCCAGTCCGAAAAAAGCAATGACTAGGGGCTTGTCTTATAGTCTTTGAAATCGTATTTTTTTTAAACTTCAAAAATGCATGCAGAAAAGCTCGAGTTCTGTAAATTTTTGTTGCTTCGTTTTCAATCTGCTTGAGCCGAAAGCTAATGTCTAGTTCAGTTGTTGTTTCGTGTCTAGAATGAGGTGATGGTGGTGTTCAAAGTGCTGGCGTCCAAAATTCAGGAAATAGGGGCCATAGCGGACAAAAACAAGGGAGAGGATAGCTACCAGATGCTGATGGCCATACAAAGTGCATCAGACGCTCTCAACTGGGTCACTGTGGTTAGTACAGATTATTTTTTGTTATCAGCGCTAGAAATGAGAGAAGTTATTTTGTATTGCAAGGCTTCGTGATAGAAGGATGAAGTTGTATTCAACAGAAAAGCATTTGGAAATTGGAATGTGTATATAAGTTAACTGTGTTTGATCTGCATTTTCTGGGCTGGTGTTCCATGCCAGACGTGCTGAGTGAACGGTAGTTGCTGCTCACAGTCGGGCTTACCTCTTTTATTTTTGCGCCATTTGTTGATGGGATTTTGAAAATTTTGTCGACTTTTTTCAAGAGGAATGAACGTAATGGGTACTCATATATAGGTCTGCTGATTTTTTCAAGGTAAATTTTTCGCGGTTGTACTTTTGATTACTTTGCAAGTTTCCTTCATTTCCTTTGTTAAAAAGACGGCAAACTCCGCTATCGAACAGAAAAAGTGTAAAGGTCACGATAACGTGATCGACTTCTAGTTTCGAAAGTTGCATTTAATTTTCAGATTTCCCAGCCAAATATCAATTTTATCTATTGATCCAGTTTTCTCAAGTTGGGTTAACTTTATCGGAAACCGTCAATCATAAATTTTTTCATGAAATTCAAGAACTGTAAGGGCATGTGTTTCTTTAGAATTCGATAACTAAGTTTGTTTTTTCAAAAAAAAACTTTTTTTTCTGCTTACTTGCGTTCATTACTCTTTTGCAACTGTCTGTTGGCTTAATAATTAAAGGCTGCGCAAATTTATAGGGCTGACTTTAAACCAAAATTGATAAAAAGTGAAGCTAATTAGAATTTTATCAGAATGAAAATGGTGCAATTTATTTCGGGCCGAACATTTTACGCCAAAAACGGATAATTTTTGGCTTTTTAGTCTATCAAAAATTACGCCAGAACTACTGAATCAATTGCAGGCACCACTATATCAAAGTGAGCCTATTATGAAGCCCAACAAAGTTTAAAATTAGTGCAATTTCTTAAAATTTTAAAACGTTTGGAAATCGTTTGCAAATAAAAACATTGCTATTTCAGACAGTAAACTTTTTGGCTTTTAAGCACAAGACAGACACTGTGTGGCTATTGAACAACAATAGTTGTATAACTTAAGATTATAACTTTTTTGCACTAGCGTCAGCCTAGTATATTTTTACGAAACTTTTTTTCTAATCCAACTCGCAAATAAAAGTGTCCATTAAAATTTCACTTATTTGGAAATTTTACTGTACCCTTAGAAGTTGCTTTGCATCTGTTCTCTGCTTTATTCGTGGCTAGTTTTTGGGGCCTAGTGAGCGGCCATGTCTGAGTGGTTAGTTTTGGAGACTATTAATCTCTAGTTCACAGATTCGAATCTCAAACGTAGCCGATTTTTTACCAACTCGAGACTTATTTCTAATTCTTTTTTATTACACTTCAAAAAGCTGTTTTTTTTTCGTGTTCTCTCTAGTGTATGCGAAGCGCAGCTTTGCGTCTGTGTAAATTTTTAGGGTCTGCCGGCGGAACATGGGTGTCGTAAATATTATAAAAAGTGGACCCTTTGGGTGGTGAGATGGTCGAATCCCTGGAGGGTGAGTGGAGTGTCGCGCTATCTAACTGCGCACCTGCTTGAAACTATTTTTGTTGGCTACTCCACTCTTGAAAAACTTTTTTAAGAGTCGGTGAACGTAGTTTAAACTCTTATATAGGCCGTGATGATTTTTTTTTTCAGAAGTCGTAAACTGCTGTACTAACAAAAAAGTGCATTCATACTTATAAATGCACATATGAATGGCCTTAGGTATATATCACTTTTTTATTTCAATTCTTGTTCAATTGCTAGAACGTAGGCTAAATGCACTCTCTATTTATGAAAACTGAAATGGTGAAAAAAAAACATAATAGATTTCTAGTTTCGAAAGTGGAATTTATTTTGTTTAGATTTCCCAGCGGAAAAAAATAACTTTTTCCTAAATGTCCAGTTTTCGGCAACTTTAACTCGCAAATAAAAGTGTTCTTTAAAAGTGTTCACTTATTTGTAAACTTCACTGTAGCATTGGAAATTGTATTGCATCTGTTCTCTGCTTTATTTGTTGCTAGTGTTTGTTGCCTATTGAGCAGTCGTGGCTGAGCGGTTAGTGTTGGAGACTATTAATCTCTAGGTCGCAAAATCGAATCGCAAACGTAGCCGATTTTTTATTAACTCGAGACTCATTTGTAGTTTTTCTTGCTTCATAGAGCTGCTTTTTGTCTGTTCTCGCTTGTGTTTGCGAAGCGAAGCTTCGACTCTGCGTTAAATTTTGTTGTATACACTAAATTCTCACTTTGATATAGTTTTGTGAGCAATTGATTCTGTAGTTCTGGCGTAATTTGTGATTGAATAAAAAACCAAATAATTATATGTTTTTGGGCAAATTTTTGGGCCCGAATTTTAAAAAATTAAATAGCGTTTGAAATTTTAGGTTTTCTTCTTTTTATCTGGATTATTTAAATTAGATCTGTTTATTTAAATCTGAACTGATAGTTTAAATCAGCCTCTCAAAATAAGTATATACAGGCACCAATGGCGCCTTGAGAAAATACAAGGGTTTTTTTGGCCAAAAATGGATGTCGTCGAATAATAGTAAAGAGTACACACTTTGATCGAATCCCTGAAGAGGTGTGCCATCTTCCTAAATTCGCCGCTGAAAACAGCTATTTTTAATCTCTTAGACGCTGTAAATGAAAAGTAGTATATTTCATATTCAACAAACGTGCATGCGATTTGAATTGTCGAAGAAGGGGTATCTATGAGATGTTTGATGTTTTAGTCTCCCAAACCAGCCAACTCAATTGGAGATGCTTATGACGGGTGCTTATATTATGCCAACAGAGTCAGCAAAGATAGAGGGTGAGTTGCATTCCAAAAAAAAATGAGCTGCAGCTTAGAAAAAAAATTTGGCAGCGTGATTTTCCCTAGACTAAATAAAACTTAGCTGTAAAAGTTGTCTACCTAGAACCACCACCGTTCTAAATGCCTTTGTCCCATGAAACTTGCTCGTTAGAGTGTCCGAGATATATTTCTCAAATACCTTTGTAGTTTTGTCATAACTTGATCTTTAGGTATTCCCAGAGGCCGATTTTGTTATTCCCAGAAGCCGTGTTGGCTGTAAGTTGTGCTCGATATTTGATTTGTTCCAGATGGCATGTTGTTTTCTATGTATAGTAATTCCGAAAACTGTAAAGAAAACCAAGAAAGCCGCTGGAGCTTTTACGTCCTGAAGAATTTTCAGAAACAGTTTTAGTTGTAATCCATTTTGCACAAATATGGTGGCAAAGGAACAGCATTTATTTTGAAGTTAATGATCAGCAAACAAGTTTTGGTCTAACTAGTTTCTGGAAATTGGTGAAAGTTTATAGCTGGTGATATCTTTTAAAGCTGATAATGAAACTTGATAAATAGGTCGTACTGCATTGCATATAATGCAAGTAACCAGGGGCTGATCTAGGATTTTCTCTCTCGAGCGCGGGGGGGGGGGGGGGAATTTGTCGACCTTTTTTTATGCAGGCAAATTTTTTGAAAGGCGCCTTTAGAAAAATTTAGCGTCAGTCAGCCGAAAATCGATATCTCAAAATAGTACTAACCCTAACCCTCCCCCCCCCCCCCCCCCCGCAAATCCGCTGGTACAAGTAACTGAATAAGTATTACAAAATCTTTCAGTTTATATGAATCTCCGCTTAAATTGTTTCAGAGATGATGGCAAGGCGTGGGTGAAGGCATTGTCTCAGCTGCTGAATGCAATGAAGGCTTACGTCATAGACTATCACAAGTCAGGACTCATGTGGAAGGGATCTGTGAGTAGAATTATACACATAGAGGGATTTGTGTAACTATTTCCCTCCTTTTGCAAAGAGGGAGGGGATTCGATCTTATGTTCAAAGTTACATATGCTTAAGCGTTGATTTAGTTTTTTATAGGGATGGTAATTCTTTACTAGATACCAAAGGCGTGGCGGGGGTGGGGTTAGTTAAAGAGCTCCAAGTAGAGCATGACTTGAAACGAAAAAATCGATCTGAGATTTCAACTAAATTTTAAACTAGAACTAGGTGTAGGCTCTTCTGGATAAATTTGCGTACTTCGACCATAAATCACGAGACTTACGATTTATAAATATCATTTGGTATGAACTAGTCTTTATTAATCTTATAACTTTGTTATACTCTTTTAAAATAATCATTTTGTTAGCGTAATAAGTACGCCAAATATTGTTGCAGTAGACGATGAACCTTTTTCAATTAAATAAATCTTGTTTGTGGTTTTTAACAAACGCGTAGTGACGTCTGTAGAGGAGGTTGGAATTGTATTTTATCCCTCATTATACAAGCACGCTAACTTATATGTAGTTTTGTTTTTTTACACAATTTTACGATACCAGAAGCCATAGCATCAATTATGTATGTTTAAGAGTAAATGTCCTGCCACTTTGCGGGAGGCAGATATCAGCACACTGGTCGCACAACTCAGCCTATCAGGAGGAGCATCAAGTGCTGGTATGTCTTAGTTGATTTAAAGTTTGCAGATCCAAATGTCGTTCTTTTACCTTCGTGTCGATCAAAATATTTAGGCTTTCAATTAGCAAGCGTTATCAAATCGGAATATAGACTTTTTTCGGGTTAACAATTTGTTTAAATGAATCATTTGGTATCTTGGTTGATAATGAAGTCAAATTTCTAATTCTCTCCGGCACACTTAGTCTGGAGATAACGAATATGCCTGGGACGCCAAAGGTCCTAGGTCGAATCAGAAAATTTGGCCAAAACAGGGACTAAACCGGGCTTAGGGAGAGCTCGAAAAATCATTTCGGTCGACCTAAAAAAAAGGTCGACAAAATTTTCGAAATTTTTTGAAAATCCGCCCCCCTCAAGAAAATCCTAGATCCGCCCCTGGTCTGACAGGACCTGTTTTTTTTGTCAAACGGGAAATATTCAGTTTCGAAAAAATTGTCAGCTTATTTTTGCCTGTTTGTTTTTTTTTGGCTTAGTTGCCATATTGTAGAATTAATTTTAAAAGTTCTTTAGCATTATAGTTGCTTTTAGTGTTCTGATTTACCTGTACTGTAATTTTTACTAAACTTGACTTCGTAGGTTTTCTGTTTTTTGTCTCGACCGTAGCTGAGTGGTGTGTGTTGGAGACTCTTAATCTCTAGGTCGCAGGTTCGAAGCCGGGTTCTAGCCGAATTTACTAATTCGAGGCTTATTGACAATTTTTCTTATTGCACTTTATAAAACTGCTTTTGTCGTGTTCTTGCAAGCTTCGCCTCTACGTTTTTTAGTTTAAAAACTTTATTCTGGCCAAATTATTTCGGCTTGTTTTTTTATCGGCTTAGTGAATTAATTTTTAGTCGTTTCATAGGAAACATGTTTTTTATTTGCTTTTTTTCGGCTTAATAGGTTTCAACCTATTTCATATCGGCTTAGTGGCCTCATATTGTTTCATTTGACTACCAATAAAGTGTTGTGAGTGTTCGTGTGTTTTGAGGGTGAGGTGGACTTATTAAATTTTCAGAAGTCTGAAGTCTTGTTGATTTTTTTTCGGCTTAAAGGGTTTCTGACAAGGTTTTTTCGGCTTTGTTTTCGCTGGGTACTTTATCTTTCGATCCTCATTTCACATTCTATTGTCTTGGCATGTTTTTTTTTTCAAAACTAGCCTTATTCATTTTGATAGATCTAGTTTTGTCGACATTTTCGAATTTTTTTTGTTTGGCTTCGCGTCTGTGTTGAACGATACTAAACATGATTAAGTGTTCGAGTACGAAGTGAGTTTTCGCTCTTTCATATATAGGCCGCATTCTCAAATTAAAGCCAGCGTGTGTAAATTGGTTTTTGAAGTTTTATTTGGAAATTGGAAATTTCAAGCAAATCCCAAAATACTGGATAGGTTATAAACATTTGCAATATGTTCATGCATAGTGCCGGGTACTCCTGAACTCGACAGTTTAAATTAAAATAATATAATGTTGAACTATAGTATGTTAGGATATGCATCTGGATTGTTGCCTGATTACATGAAGTCAATTGAGTGAAATCTCCTTGAAGTTGGATGAAATTGGAAGCTAATTGATCCTGAGTTGTAAACGTGTAGTCTCTTTCAGCCAGCGGAGCCTCTGTGTCCTGTGATTCTGGCGACGACTCTCCCTATCTACAAGAGCTCTCAGCCAGTCTTGATGACTTGATGGAGAAGTCGAAGGCACTGGGGGATTTGTTGGAGCAGCAGATGACTAAGTTCGACTCCATCGCTAGAGTAGTCATTCCTAAGTACCTTTCCATGGCAGAACAACACCAGGCGCCTCCTCAGGTAATTTACACTTGAACTATTTTACATTATTCATAGGGGCTATTCTGATGCGCGAAACACCGAATGTGCGGAAATTTTCAACCAATCAACGCTCTTTAGACTGTAAAATTGACTGAGTTTATTGCTTATTTTTACATGAATTTTTGAATACCGAGCTATGAATGGGCGACTTAATCTTCGCGCACTCGGTCCTTCGCTCATGATAGTTACTGATTTTAGACCAAACAAATATTGATGAAAATTTCGAGTCCAATATTGAGTTCAAAAAACTTGCTAAGTATAGATAAATCTTACCAAAAATGTGGCCGATTTCGTTGTTTTTTTTCTTAATCTTTGTAGAAATTTAAATTAACAATTCAAAGTTGTGTTGTTGATATGTTGTCTGTAAATTGTTCTTCAATCTGTTTTCTTTTTTTCCGTGTATTGTTTAATTTTCTTCTTTTGTGTTCAGAGTGACTACCCGAAGGTGTTCTCGGAGATGATAGAAGTGACAGGGCAGATAGTGAGCATGAGTGACTCCACCAAACCCACCCATCCTCAGTCTCTACTTCTTAACACTGTCAAGTCAGCTGCGGAACACTTCAACTGGGTTGTCGCTGTAAGTGAATCATCTGTAGAGCCTGTGTCATATCTATGCAGACTTGAATTTGTGACAGTTATAGAAAATTTGAAATAATTTGACTACTCATAGAGCAATGTATCTCTTCAAATCATAAATTTGAGAGATTGTGTTACTTACGAGTTTTGCATTTTTCCAGTCTTAGCTGCACCTTTTCGTGTTTCATCTGCGAGCTTTCATGCGTGGAATTTAATCGTCATTCTACGTTTTTTTTTAAAATAAAAATTGCTCATTCTAGTATGTGGATAATTAGTGCGTTAATTGCATATTATACGATCTAGCTGTATTTTTTAAATCAAAAAGCGCGAAAGTAGACATTTCCAATGGTTGACAATCGACTGTTGGAACAGCGATACATGTTTGAATGCCGTAGTATCATTTTTTAAGAGTCAATGAACGTGAAGATTTATTTAAATCGTGACAATTTTTTTGTTCGATTTTTTAAGCGATCACTCTCAAATTTGATTTTGCGGTTTCACTTATCTCTTTTTTAGTTCAGTTCATTTCCTTGAATAAAAAATACCCGCTGATCCAGTTTTATCGATCGAATAAAAAATAACTATTGATACTGTTTTTACCCTTGCCATAAGCAAGGGTATTGCAATAGGGTAATTGACTTTTTCGCAGCAAATCACTTTGTCACAGAATGATCAAAATTAGAAATGGTAAATTTAGGTTCAGTTCAAACTAAATTCAAATTTCTTTGCGTCTCCCGAATACTTGGTCTGTAAATTCAAATTTCGCGTTATAAAATTCAAATTTCTTCGCGTCTCCGGCACACTTGGCCTGGGTTATAATCTGACCGGAACTGTTTTTTTTTCAAACGGGAATTAAACCGTTTCAACTAAAATTGTCGGCTTTTTAATTGTCTGCTCATGTTTTGTCGGCTTAGTTGCCGCATCGTAGAATTGTTTTTTTTTGCTGTACGCAAATTGCATTGCAGTTGTTTTTAGATTTTTAATGTTCCAATTTTTTCTGTCATTGTAATTTTACTAACCTTGGCTTCGTATATTTTCATTTTTTGGTACGGCAGAGGTCTTGGGTTCGAATCTGATAGGACCTGTTTTTTTTTTCAAACGGGAGTTATTCCGTTTCAAAAAAATTCCCTGCTTCTTAATTGTCTGCTCATGTTTTGTCGGTTTAGTTGCCACATCGTAGATTTGTTTTTTTTGCTGTACGCAAGTTACATTGGTGATGTTTTTCGGATTTAGTGTTTCGAGATTTTTCTGCTAGTTGTAATTTAGTAACATTGACTTCATATATTTTCATTTTTTTTTTCGCGTAAAACTTTTCTGTCCACATGGTTTCTGCTTTTATTTTATCGGCTTAGTGACATATTTTAAGTAAAATCGAAGGAAGCATTATTTCCTCTCGATTGTACTAAATGCTTTAAAAAATCTTAATAGAATTTATAGTTTATCATGACAATATATTTTTCGGCTTTTTTTGTTTTCTCTTTTTTTTCCCGGTTGATAGGTTTCGACCTATATAAGATCAGCTGAACGCCATCATATTGCGTCTTTCGGCGAGCAAAAAAGTTTTTATAAGCGTGTGTGTGTGTTTTGAGGGCGAGGGGGGCTGAATAAATTTTTATCATTCATAATATTTCTTTCGACTTTTTTATTTTTCTTTTTTTGGCTCAACAGGCTTATACTATATCGGCTTAGTGCCTCTTAATGTTTCACTTGACGAGTAAATAATTTTTTTGTGTGTTTGTTCTGAGGGTGAGTGGGATTTAATAACGTTTTATAAGTCTTATTTCTTGTAGATTTTGTTTCGGCTAAAAAGGTTTCTGCTAAGATATTTTCGGCTTTGTTAGTGCCTGGTATTTTTTGCGACGCTAATTTTTTTTTGTGTTGCCAATTTATTGTTTCAAAAGTAACTTTATTCATTTTTGTAGATCTATTTTTTTCCGACTGATTTTTTTCCGACTTAGCGGCTTTCTTGCTTGGTATTGCAAGTGGTGGGAAGCTCAGCGTCGCCTATGTGTCTCAAATTGGGATAATTTTATCAAAAAAGTGTTCATTGTTCAATAGATCATTAAATTCCAAGAGCTACAAGGCCAGATATTTTTTCTTTGAAATTCGAAAGTTTTTTTTTTCACAAATTTAGTCATTTTTTTCCGTGTTGTTGCGTTTGCTGATTCTTTTCTAACTGTCTGTTGGTTGTTTGCCTTTTATTTTGGTGTGCCGCTTTTTTCGATTTGTGTTTTTGGTGTTGTATCAGAAATAATTTCAATTTGAATTGAGGCAAGCTATCTCGTTTTATTTGACAGTTATGGTGTAAATTTAAAAAGTAGTCAAACTGCTTTTTGTGCAAATTAACTGTTCCGACAATGAAATTGGAGAGGAACCTCGTCATCGGGGGTTTTTCAATTTTTTGGTTTCCCCGCAAAATTAGGTACGACAAAAAATAATCATCGGACTCAGTGGAGCCATGCATCATAACACTTTCAGTTGTGATTTGAGCGGCATTTCAAAAAAAATTATTTTTGCATCCCCGTAACACTTGGTCTGGATGTAGCGTATATATCTATGAAAGCAAAGGTCTTGGGTTCGAATATGTTTTTTTTTCAAACGAAATATTCCGTTTCAAAAAAATTGTTGGCGCATTATTTGTCTGCTCATGTTTTGTCGGCTTAGCTGGCACATCGTAGAATTGTTTTTTTTGCTGTAGTTGTATTTAATGTTTTGATTTCTCTACTATTTGTATTTTTACTAACCTTGACTTCGTTTATTTTGTTTTTTTTTTCGCTTAAAAACTTGATTCTGACCAAATGATTTTTTGACTTATTTTTTTGTCGGTTAAGTGACCTGGTTTTAACTGTTTTTAAGGTAATATTTTTTCATGCTCCCCTTTGGATTGCACAAAATGCTAAAAATTTGAAATGAAGTTATAGTTTTTCGTGGCAAAAATTTTTTTTCTTTTCTTTTTTGTTCCTCTTGATAGGTTTCTCTAGTTCCGCTTGATAGGTTTCGGCCTATATAAAATTGGCTTAAGTGCCTCATATTGCATTTTTTACCATGCGAAAAAAGTTTTATGTGCGTGTGTGCGTTTTTTTTCCATGTTGAAGAGGACTAAATAACGTTTTATTATTCATACTTTTTCTAAAGTTTTTTTGGCTTCTTTTCTTTTTTTTTCCGGCTGAATAGGTTTTGGCCTATATTATGTCGGCCTAATGACCTCATACTGTTTCATTTGATGAGCAACTGAAGTTTTGTGTTTTGAATGTGAGTGTGACCTAATAATTCGTTTTGATAGAAATCTATGTCGCGATTATTTTTTTTTTCGTTCTTTTTTTACGGGAAAAGTCTTAGAATTTGTTCATGCACAAAATTATTTTTTGCTCCAGTCTTATATTTAAAAAAGTTTATCTATCGATCCATTTTTCTCAAATTGGGTTAATTTTATCAAAAAGTGTCAATCATAGATTATTCTAGAAATTTTAGGAGCTTTAAGGGCATTTATTTTTGTCTTCGACATTCGAAAGCTCAGATTTTTATGAAGAAAAATGAATCTAGTGAAGATTCTTATATAGGTCTTGCTGATTTTTTTTGTTTTTTTTTAAGGAAAAGTCTCTAATTACTATAGATGTGCATTCATTATAATTGATGCATTTATGAATGCACTCAGGTATTTATGCACTTTTTGAGTTCAATTGAAATTCATCTGCTGAAAGTGACATAAATAGCACTCTCAAAATACGAATATGGAAATGGCGCTAAAAAACGTGCATGATTTCTAGAAAACTTTACATATTGATCCTGTTTTCTCTAGTTGGGTTCACATTATCAAAAAAGCGCCAATCATAAATTGTTTCAGAAGTTCAAAAAGCTTAAATGGCATCTAATTTTTTTTCTGTAATTGAGATTTTTTCAAGAAAGTGTTTTTTGTTTACTTGCGTTCATTACTCTTTTCCAATATTCGATTGGCTATGTTTGTTAAGTTGCTTTCATTGAGTCTTTTCCAACTGTCTGTTGGCTAGGTTTTAATAATTGTGTTCGAGACTTTCTCTGCTAATGGTACAGTAACCGGATTTATTTACCAACTAAACTAAATTGGTGAGCTTCGAAGTGTAAGCGCAGTGTTGGTGGCGATTTAACCTGGCTTAGAAATTGTTCAAATTATATAGACTTATTACTGCGTTACAAGTCAATAAGTGTTTTGCTCAGCGTGTGGGGCAATTAAGAAAATCTGAAAAGCGTTTTATTATTGTTTTTTACGCCTGGGATTAGCAAACGTTATCAGATCGGAATGAGACTTTTTGTCGGGTTAACAACTTGTTTACCAGAATCACTTGTTTTCTTGGTTCACAAGGAATTCAAATTTCTAAGCATATCCGGCAGATTTTCCCTGGAAGTAACAAATACTCCTGGGAGGGCAAAGGTCCTGGTTTTGAATCTGACCCGTATGTTTTTTTTCTGTTTCGAAAAAATTGTCGGCCTATTTTTTCTGTCTGCCTTTGTTTTGTCGGCTTACTTGCCATATCATAGATTTTTTGCTGTATGAAGTTTTCAGTGTAGTTTTCCTCTACTCCTGCAATTTGTAATTCTGCTAGCCTTGTAATTCTAGTAGCCTTAACAATATTTTGAAGTTTATTTTTCTTTTTGTTTCTTTTCGCTAAAAAAAAACATTCCGGCCTTGAATGATTTCTGCTTATTTTTTATTGGCTTACTTAAAGTTTTCATCACAACAATTTCATTTTTTTGCTTTAATTGTTTTTGATTTTTCATGAAACGCCGTTGAATGTGTTTCTGGATGTGTTTTCCGCAAATAGTACATCATTCCAGACCAAATTTTGAAGTTTTTTTTAGTTGTGGTTTCTTTGAAAATTTTTCAGTTTTCTTTGGACTTTGTGGCTTCCCTTTTCTTTCATGCCTGCTAGCTTGCAAGGGTATTTTTATTTGGTATCGCCTTTGTGTTTATTGTACTAATAATTAGAAGGCTTTCCATGTTAATTTGCGAAGTTCCTTGTTAATTTGCTTGTGCTGCAGAATGGATGCTCGAAGGTTATCAAACCTCGCAGTAATAGCTAATCAAACAAAAACCAATTAAGATATGTTACATGAACGGGTCTTGAAAATTTCATTCTTAATTACGTGAACGGTTCTGATAGTTTGAAAAAATACAAAATTTGGCTCGTCTGAAAAGGTCAATTTTGAAGTTAATGAATGAAGTGAAGATGTTTAAATAGGGTCTGTTGTTGTTTTTCTAAGAATCATGACTGTAGTGAGTTTTCTTATATTGGTGTTGGTGATTTTTTTTGTTTGTTTTTCAGGCAAAAGTCTCAAAATTTGTTCACGCCAAAATGTGGTTTTTCGCGGTTTGACTTTTGATTTTGTTTAAGTTCACTTCATTTCATTTTTAAAAGGAAGGTCAATTCCACTATCGAACAGCAAAAGTGTAAAGATTGATGTCTTGTATCGAAAGTGCAATTTAATTTACAGATTTCCCAACGGAATAAAAAGTTTGCTGATCCAGTTTTCTCAAATTGGGTTAATTTATCATAAAGTCAGTCATAAATTGTTTTGGAGATTCAAATAATTTTAGGGCATCTTTTTTTACTTCAGTAATTTTTGCTTTGAATTTTAATTTCGCTGTTGGCTGTGTTTTGGTTTTGTTGGGATTTTTTTCTAGAATTTGTTAACTCACTTTTTTTTCGTATTTTGGCTTTTCAGGTTATTTTCTGTCAATTTGTTGAAGGGAAAGGGAAGGCAAATTACCTTCTCCGATAATTATGTTGCACATGGCGCAAAAACGTGATTTACTTTTAAATTCAAAAGTGGATTCTAGTCGGTTTTGTATACGCCATAAATGTGCCGTATTTTTTAAAATGCTTCAAAAGTAATCAGTTTTTTTTTCGGTTTCGGAGTTCATAGGGTATCTGCCTGTTGGCTATGTTTTATGAATTATGTGTGTCACAAACTGGTGATAATGTGATACACATTTCAAGATGCTTTAAGAGTTTTTTTCGAGTGAAATTTCAAATTTGTGCTAATTTATGGTTGTTTTTTTTGTCAGTTTCTGTCGTATGTTGCTTGAATATATTCTTTATTGTTTTTTTAGCCTGGAAGACCTCAGGATTTTGTGAAGGAATGTATGGACTCAACTACTTTCTACGGAAACAAGGCTATTAAAGCCGGAGGGTATGTTAGTTGGATCTATTCAGCAATCTCCCCCCTCCCCAACCTACCCTATGGTATCTACTCCCCCAGTAAATCAGAACTCTTTTGCTGCTTTTTGATTGCTCGAAAATTCTCTGATTTAATCTACTTAACAATAGTAGTGTTATGTAGATCCTGATATTTAAGTGACAAATGACATTTTGCGTTAAATTTATATGGTAGATTTAGATCTATAATTTTTTTGCGAAGAAAATTTATGTGAACAATATTAATTCAAAAATGCTATTACAATTTTTTTGAAAAAAAGATTTAGATGCAAAGGATACTTTTTAAGGCAGTACTACTGTATAAGAGTAGACTTAAAAATGAAATCAGCCTGTATTTTAAAAAATAAAAACTGACGAAGTCTTTTTTAAAAACGAATACAGCCGAACGTTGGTTGCTATAGCTATGTCAGCAGATAGCATTTGTAGAAACTGAAGCACTCCTGATGTCTGCTTTACAGCTAGATTCATAACGATATTGTTCTTTTTCAATCTAAAATTGTTTTTTGTTTATTATAGGGATGAAGAGAAGGCCTGGTTCAAGAGTCTAGCTCAGTACATGCGCATTCTGCAGCAGACGCTCAAAGACTTCTACCCCAGTGGTCTCGTCTGGAAGGGAAAGGTAACCACCATTCAAAGTATTAGCCTTGTTTGCACTAAAGTAGTAGAAAGCACGTCTAGTGTGAATAATAGGACGGTTTGAGCTAAAATATTTGCTCGAATGAATTACAAGACGGCTTCATGTTTAATCACTATATAATTCTGGTTGAACCGAGGGCATGTGCGTGTTGAAAGAGACAATACGTAATCTTAAGGTTTGCTAATGTCTCATTGAGTTGAATGTTTGCTGCATTTAACCACTGACTGTAGTTAATAACGAAACCAGTTCTGATCTGGTTGGAATACGTGTATCTTGTCTCTCAATTGTCGACGAAACTGTGAAACATAGAGTTTGTTCACTTCCACGTTTCTGTTGACAGACGGACCGTTTAAAATCCATGGTAAATGTCCCTATAGACACACTTTAATTCAGTAGTTTGGTTTATTTGACTAGAAAAAGAATATCCTGATTTCATTCGGGTCGTCGAAAAATATTACACAAAAATTAAAAGTTTATTTGATCATTTTCAACTACTTCTTGTTGCTGATTCCGACGGCGTCAATTTTAGACTCCTATCGGACAATCATCAGGTGCTGCTGCTCCCCCTCCCCCACCTCCAGGCGGACTTCCTCCTCCGCCGCCACCCGTAGCCGCTAGTGCCCACTCGGGTGGATCCTCCTCCGGTGACGACGGAAGAACTGAACTGTTCTCACAGCTAAACAAGGGCACAGACATTACCAAAGGTGAGTCCGAATAAACCTTGTAATTTTGTGATGAAGTTCAGAGATTTGATCCAAAAAGATATGCAACATATATCAACCCTATCTCATTTTAGCGCATCTCGGGAAAAAAGCTGATTGTTTAAAATGCTATTTATGTGATTATTTACACAAGCAAGCAAAGCTTGTGTTATAGCAAGAACTCTTTTTTTTCCAATTCAAGTCGCAAATATTGTTGCGACGCAAGTATTGTTGCGACAAAATGTGTTCATTTTGAAAGTGTTCATTTTGATCAATAACCAGCTATTAAGTACAGCCAATGCTAAGGATATTAACACTCACTATTATATTACAAATAGCAATTTAGCTTCAAGGTATCGTGGATCTGTAGCGTAGAGGTAGGTAAGGAGACTCGCAACAAAAAAGAGGGTTCGAACTTTGGCAAGGTCGGATGTTTTTATTAAACTTTTTCCTGCACCAGTTAAAATGCGTCCGCTCTATCAATTGAGGCATGTCAACTGGTAAATTTCTTTATTTACTGGTATAAACTGACCGGTACTGCTAATGCGTCATAATTGGCTTGGGTCACTTAGCAATTATGTCGACTCATAATTGGCGTGCGTCACTTGAGAAATTTTGTAGACTTATTCAATTTTACCCATTAGCGTTATCAGTAAAAATTTTGCTCGTGTATGCGAAGTTCAACTTCGCCTCTGTGTAAACTTTCCGATGATGGTTTTTCAAATCTATGTTTTTTTCAGAAAATCGGCAACAAATCTGTCGCTATAAATAAGGGTTCCACATCTTCTGCAGCACACTTGGCCCAGCGTTAAAATTTATGCATGTTTCGATTCCTGCTAGAACCTGTTGGTTTGCACATTCAGAGGTTCTCCTATTAGGAGTAATGAACGTAGTGAGTACTCTTATATAGGTCGTGGTGATTTTTTTCAGGAAAAAGTTTAAAAATTTGTTGACGCTCAATTTTGATTTTTCGTGGTTTGACTTGTGATATCTTTTTAAGTTAAGTGCATTTCTATTGTTAAAAGAAAGGTAAGCTCCACTATCGAACAGAAAAAAGCAAAGGTTACGAAAAACATGATCGACTTCTGATTTCGAAAATGAAAATTAATTATCAGATTTCCCAGCGAAATAAAAGTTATACGTATTGATCCAGCTTTCTCAAGTTAAGTTAACTGTACCAAAAAAAGTGTTTATCATAAATTGAATTGTTCTACAAATTGAAAGAGCTTTAAGGACATCTATTTTTTTCTTCGAAACTCAAAAATTGAAGTTTCTTGAAAAAATAAGGCAATTTTTTTCAGTTTCCTTGCGTTCATTACTCTTTTCCAAATGTTATTTTCCACGTTTTTTTGGTCGTTTAGTTGTCGCAGCGCGGACTTTTCAATTCGAGTGAGCAATTTTACTACATTTGGAAGCCTGTTTGATTTATTTATGTAATTTGTGAATTTATCATCCCTTATTCTTTATAATGCCCCTTCTCTATCTTCTGTCGTTTTTTTTCGCATTAGAGCTTTAATCGCCCGAAATGGTTTCGGCCTTTATTTAAGAGTAATAAATGTAGTGAGTAGTCTTATAAATGTCTTGGTGATTTTTTGCTGGAAAATTCTCAAACTTTGTTCGCTCACTTCCGATTTTTCGCGGTTTAGCTAGCTAACTTCCTTTCCTTTGTTAAAAGGCAGGCCAACTCCACACTATCGATCAGCAAATTGTGAAGGTCATTTTTACAATTCATGTCTCGCAGTATTTTTGAATTGCATAATTTATGAATAGTTTGGCTTTGAGCTTTCGAGTTTATTACATCCAAAGTTGTGGAGGACTTCACGGTGTTATATTCCAAATTATTACCTGCCAATTTGAATGTGGACTTTTGTTGCATCGCAGTGGCAATTTAGTAGCGTTTTTAGCTGCTTTTTCATGACTAGTGGTTGGCGGTTGTTAAGCATTCGTGGCCGAGCGTGCAGGGCGTGAGACTCCTAGTTTCGAGGTTGCAGGTTCGAATCCGATACGTCGCTGATTTCTATTTTTTCTTATTTCACTCTATGAAAATGTTTTTTTTGTCGTGTTCTCGCTTGTGTTTTCTTTAAACGCCATCTTTTAAAAGGTTTTTCGAATCATGTTTTCGCAAAGTTGATTTCTAATATACCTTTCTTAAATTTTACGGTCGATTGTGCTCAAAATTTAGGAGTTCAAGACGAATAATCAAGACACATTGAAAAAGAAACTATTTTCGGTTCTTTTTTTCATTGTGTTTGGAACATTCGGCACTACTTGCACAGCAATCTGCTGTCCTTGTTATGCTATTCGGTTTCCATGGTTAATGAACGTCTTGAAGACTCTTATATAGGTCTTGCTGAGTTTTTTTTGTTTTTTTTTTCTCGAAAAGTTTCAAGTCTCTAATAACTACAGATGTGCATTCATACATATGAATGCATTTGTGAATGCACTTGGCTGTATATGCACTTTTTGAGTTCAAATGAAATTCAATTGCTAAAAGTGACATAAAAAGCACTCTCCAAATACGAACGTGGAAATGGCGTGAAAAATCGTGAACGATTTCTAGTTTCGAAAGTGGAATTTATTTTTAGGTTTTCTAGCAGAAGAAAAACTTTTCCTATTTATCCAATTTTCTCCAATTCGGTTACTTCTATCCAAAAAATCAAAGAGCTTTAAGGACATTTATTTTTTGTTTGAAATTCGAAAGTTTAATTTTTTCAAAAAAGCGTAATTTTTTCAATGTTTCTTTGCGTTCCTTTTTTGAAAGTTTCTTTTGGCTGTTTTTCGTACTAAGCCCTGTGGGTTCGACCTGTGGAGAATCAAGTGTCGTGGGTTTTTGAAGTATTTTTTGGCCGCGATGAAATATGCTGTGTGTCTCTTTTGGGCACCTACATTAGATACGGTCAACGCGTCGAACATGTGGAAAGAAAAACGTCAGACTCCGAGTCAGTATAAAAATGAAATTCTCTCCATGTTCCAAGAAGGATAATGACGGAGTTTAATTTGATAGCATTGGCATATAGGGTTTAATTAGAAAATTAGAAAATGAAGAATTAGTTTTGTTCCCTGAGCTCATTAACGCCTTTTAGCTATGTAAGAAAGTTCAATCGGCGGAATATTATAAGGCGATTATCAGATATCTTTAGTGGCAATTTTGCCTGAAACATCTAGACTAGTGTAGCTTAATTGGAAATGATTTCTGAAATGTTTGGAATTTTCTTGCGGGGGTTGCTACTGATTGTATACCATGTTTTCTTTCTCGTTTACATAACTCAGTTTGCGGTGTAAATAACTTTGACATTTTGGTTTATATAATAACAAACTACTCACTGATAGCCCCAATCCAGGAAGCTCAATTTTGACATCTATAAATAAATAATGTCTCATAGGCTAAAATGACTCGGAATTCTTCTTTTGTCGAGCTGAATAGCTGTGTCAATCTAAATTAAGTTTTGCGAATTTCATGTTTCAATAAACGGATTTTTTTACACTTGCGAAGTAAAGTGTTTTATTTCGAACTTTCTTTTTTCCAACCTAAGCCGCAATTATTGGTGCCACATATGTAGCATGTGCTTTGATATTCGAATAGTAATAATAGTAATAAGTTTACATAGTTGATGCATTTTTAATTCATCAAATGAACCGAAAAAAGCTATTGGTTTCAAACAATATAACAAAAATAAAAACTCGATTTCCAAATTTTCAATATCATTTTATATCGCAGTTATTTGAATTGCATAATTTATTCAATGTGGCTTTATGCTTTGCGATTGTTTAGGTGCAAAATTGTGCCTTTTTGTATTTGGTGCTACTTTTGCTGCGTCGAATTGGCAATTTATTCGCATATGTAGCTGCGTTATTGGTGGCTAGCTAGTTTTTGGAAATTTAAGCATCCCTGGCTGAGTGATTTGTGCGTGAGACTCAAAACTGCTATGTCGCAGACTCGAATCCGTCACGTAGCGGAATTTTTGCCAATTCGAGGCCTATTTCCTGTTTTTCTTTTGTCACCTGATAGAGCTGCTTTTCGGTCGTGTTCTCGCAAGTGTTTGCGAACCGTAGCTTCGCTTTTGTGTTTAAATTGTGGTGGTAGAATTTGATTTTATTGCGGACTGCATATCAACGGCTCCCCACCCCTTCCGTGCTTTCCGTTTTATGGCCCTAAAACTCCTAATTTAAATTTTTAGGGATTGGGTGCTAAAATTACCTCAAAAAGATAGTTTCTCAAAAGGGGTGTGTCGTTTTAACCGGACAGTTCTAAATGGCTGACCTAACAAAAGAACAAAAGAGTAGTTTGAACGTATCCGGTCTCTGTTGAAAATTAGTTTTTGCCACCTAGATACCAGAAAATGATTTTTTTTGTAAATGCAATTTGATGGCTGCGTGTTTAGGACTGAAGAAGGTGACTAAAGACATGCAGACTCACAAGCATCCGGAGTTGAGAGCCGGTGCAGTGGTCACCGCAGTCGAGAAGAAAGGAGAGGGGGCATCTGCTGCTAAACCAGCGGCAGCCAAAGTTGAGAAGCCTCCCAAGATGGAGCTGGTCCAGGACAAGAAGTGGATCGTGGTTAGTATGACTGAGAAAGTTTTGCTATTAGAAAGCATTATCAAATCGGAATATAGACTTTTTTCGGGTTAACAACTTGTTTAAGAAAGGTAACTAAATCCAAGTTAAATAATGGGTTACTTATAGTACTGCTGTATTAACCATTGCTACTCAGTAACTACTGATAAATAATATATCTAGAATTTCCATATTCATTTTTCTGTTATGAATTTGTCGGCTTAGTTCCCCTATAAACGAAGCTTCCACATTTTCTGCAACACTCTCGGCCTAGCGCTAATGTTTATGCCTGTCTCGATTCCTGTTAGACCTGTTTGTTTGCACATTCAGAAGTTCGCCTATTAGAGAAGTGTCTGCCCATCGTTTGTCTGATTTTTTTCCCGTTTAGTTGCCACAACGCGGAGTTTTCAAAGCAAGTTGAGCAATTTTTTTGACAGTTGGAAGCCTTTTTGATTTATTCCTGTAATATGTAAATTTATCAACCTTGATTCTATATAATGCCCCTTCTGTATTTTTTCGCATTAGTTTTATTCGTCTTAAATGGTTTGGGCCTCTTTTTAAGAGTAATGAACGTAGTGAGTACTCTTATATAGGTGTCGGTGATTTTTGTTGCAGAAAAAAGTCTCAAAGTTTGTTCACGCTCAATTTCGATTTTTCGAGGTTTGACTGATTTATTTTTCAGTTCATATCATTTGTTTTCTTAAAAGTAAGGCAAACTTTAATTATCGAACAGCTAAAATGTAAAGATCAAAAAAAACGTGGTCGACTTCTATTTTTGCAAGTGGAATTTATTTTTCAGATTTCCCTACGAATTAAAAAAAATCATCTTTCGATCCAGTTTTCTCAAATTGGGTAAGTTTCATGAAATAAACTCAATCATAAATTTTTCTCGAAATTCAAAGAGCTTATGGCCATTTATTTTTTCTTGATAATTTCGAAAGTTGGGATGTTTTCAAAAAAGAAGTCATTATTTTATTTGTTTCTTTGCGTTTATTACTCTTTTCCAACTGTAGCTGGCTCTATGTTCAAATCGACTTGATCGTTAAATATTACTTTATTTGAAAAGAAAATATATTTTGGTTTTTGTGCTGTTTCAGAGTGAGAGGCATATAACTTTTTTTTCAAATCAATTCAAACGTTTTCTATATCAGCAGTTTTGTTTTCGGCTTAACTTGCGTCTACTTAAGTATTTTCGGCTTAGCTGCTACGAAATTTTTTTTTATTATTATTTTAACGCTGATGATTGTTTCTCGACAATCGACATTCATGTTTTCCTCCAACCGAAAGACTTTCTAGATAATTGTATGAAATTTTTTGTAATGGATTGGTCATTTTAAAGATTTTTTTTAGTCGTGATTCGAACGAGTTAGAAAATTTTTACCAGTATCGAGAAAGATATAATTGAGTTTTACGATTTTTCGTCTAATATCGAGCAAGTACATTGAGCGAGGTTTTGTTTATAATAGGATTGTTATTTAATTCTTGAATTTAAGCCGTGAAAATTAGTTTTCGTTGCAGTAAAATTAGTTTTCGAAATTTCTTTAAACGCCATCTTTTTAAGGTTTTTCCAATCGTGTTTCCGGCAAAGTTGATTTCGAATATATTTTTAAAGTATTACGGTCGATTGTGCTCAAAGCTTAGGAGTTAGGATTTCCTTCAGATGCTTTCATCACATGACGAATAATCAAGACACATTGAAAAAGAAACTAGTGCTGTTTAGAACATTCAGCACTACTTGCACAGCAATCTGCTGTCCTTGTTATGCTATTTGATTTCTAAGATTAAATTACGCTCTAATAAAGCATTGTTAAGAGTAATGAACGTAGTGAAAACTCTTATATAGGTCTTGCTGAGTTTCTTTTTTTTCAGCGAAGTCTTAAAAGTCTCTAATAACTACAGATGTGCATTCATACTTATTGATGCATTTATGAATGCACTTGGGTGTATATGCTTTTTTTTGAGTTCAAATGAAATTCATCCGCTAAAAGTGACGTAAATAGCACTCTCCAAATACGAACGTTGAAATGGCGCCAAAAATCTTGAACGTCTTCTAGTTTCGAAAGGGGAATTTAGTTTTTAGATTTCCAGCGGAATAAAAACTTATTTTTCAGCTTCGTGCATGATACCAGAAAAAAGCTCAAAAAAAGCGCTTTTCATATATGCAAGTAAACATTAAATAAAACTTTGATTTGATAATAATATAATGAGACCATGTGTGTAGGAGAACTACAAGGACGAGACAGTGACGATTGAGATCTCGGACTTCAAGCACACCGTGTATGCCTTCAACTGTAAGAACACCACCTTCATTGTGAAGAACAAGGTCAACTTCATCTCCCTCGACAACTGTGCCAAGTGTGGAGTCGTGTTCGATGACCTCCTGTCTTCCGTTGACCTCGTCAACTGCAAGAGTGTACAGATACAAGTGAGACTAGACGATTATGACGGCTAAGAATTGAAAACAACCTTTGTTGATTTTTAAGAACTGTCGACGTAATATGATGAGGATTCTCAAATATTTACACTTAGATGGTACAAATGCAGGCAGGTCTGGGATTGCTTGATTTCCTCGAAATGCTTACAAAAAGTGATGAAACAACTTGACCATGATCATGAATTAGGTCCAAGAAGAACTAAATGTTTCATGCGCATGTAGATTACCGACGTTGCACGAAACTAATTCTGGATTTGTCGATTGATTTGTTACACTTCTATTATAAAAATGACATCAAATTGTACTCGCCGTGCTTTTGTTTCAACCTCTTTGATATCATCTATCTATCTATACTATATTTAAATGCGAGTGACAGCTATCTCCCATGTTTAAGCATAATAGTTTTGCATGTTTAACGAACGAGTTTTTTCATGTTTAAACTATATCATATATTGCTATGCTTAAGAAAAATTTTAATTAGTTTTCCGCAAGGTCATTAATTTTCAGTAATTTTTTCTGTCTGTCTATATACCTGCTTTTCTAAAAAAAAATATGATTGTCTGTCTAGCCGTATCCTAATTTTTAAACTTTCAACGATCTATCTATTATATATTTAAATGCGGGCTTCACTATCTCGTCATGTTTAGGCTTTTTCAACGTATTATTTTTGCATGTTTAACAAAATAATTATTTCATGTTTAAGCTATATCGTATTGCTATGGTTAAGGTTTTTTCGATTTTCCAGTTCAAATTCTGTGTTTATTTCATCAAGTTTGAAATTAGCAACCTAATAGTGGGATGTTGTCAAAGTTTTCCCAGGTTTTGCGATTCTGGCTTCCATAAATGAATGACCAAATCCTTTTAGTTTACGAAATAGGCAATTTTAGAGATTTTTCAAAATTTTTTAGAAAATTTGATTTTAAAAAATTTCTCAATTTTTGAAATTTTCACCCTGTGATTGGGTGCTGTCAGAGTTCTCTCAGGGGTTGCGATTCTTGCCTCCAAATCTCACTTCTCAAATAGAAGTGTAACAAATCCTTGTAGTTTTCGAGATATGAAGTTTTTATGATTTTTTCAAAAAAATTCCAAAACTTTGAAGATCTCATTCCTGTTGTTGGATATTTTGAAGGAACTCTCAGGGGTTGCGAATTTTGCCTCTGATTATGGCTGCTCAAATCCTTGTAGTTTTCGAGATATGACGTTTTTTTAGGATTTTTTTTAATTTTTCAGAAAACTTAGAAATAAATAATTTCACAAAATTTGATATTTGCATCTCTGTGGTGAGGCTCTGTCAAGATACTCTCAGGAGTTCGAATTTTGCCTCTAAATATGACTGCTCAAATCCTTTCAGTTTTCGAGATACGACGTTTTTAATGATTTTCTCCGAAATTTAAAAAAAAAACTTAGATGTTAAAAAATTCCAAAACGTTGAAGATCTCAATCCTGTTATTGGAATCTGCCAGGGTGCTCTCAGGAATTGCGATTTTTGCCTCCAAATATGACTGCTCAAAACCTTGCAGTTTTCCAGATGACGTTTTTTGTGCTTCAAAAATTTTCATGAAACTTAAGTTAATTTTTTTTTTCAAAGTGTGAAATTCCTAACCTGTAGTTGGGGACAGTCAGAGTTATCTCACGGGTTGCAAATTCGGCCTGCAATTAAGAATGCCCAAATCTTTTTAGTTAAGAGATAAGACGATTTTTGTGATTTTTTGGAAATTTTCAGAAAACTCAAATTACAAAATACTTCACTAAAGTGAAATTCCCAACCCTGTATTTGTGTGCTATCAGAGTGCTTTCAAAGATTGCAAATATTGCCACCAAAGAATACTGCTGAAATCTTGGTAGTTTTCGAAATATGAAAATTTTTCTGGTTCTCAATAAATACCTTTTTTTAGAAAACTTAAGGTGAAGTTTATTAAGATTTGAATTTCCCAACGTTGTAGTTGGGTTCTATAAGAGTACTCTCAAAAGTTACAAATTTTGCGCCAATTACGACTGCTCAATTGATTTTAATTTCCCATATGTGACGTTTCTTAGTTCATTTTAAATTTTTCGAAGAACTTTTATAAAACTTCACAACATTTTATGGTTCTCCAAAATTTGTATAAAAAAACTTTGAAGAATTTGTAATTACGAACCTTGTAATTGGGTGAATGCAGATCTTATTTCCAATATATGCGTTTTATTATAAGTACCGGATGTAGGTTATGCGCTAGTCATGAGTTAATTTTTCAAAACTTTTTCTGATTCAGAGGCGGGGCCAAAGATCAGTCTAAAAAGTTGTTCTGCTTATGAAATTTAGTTTCTCTTTGTCTGCCTCCCACTAGTTCAAATTTTGTGAAAGCTTTACCATTCTACCAGATTCTGATGTGTTTATGTTCTAGGCGCTATCTAAGATGCCACTTCTGAACATAGACAAGACGGATGGAGTGCAGGTGTATCTGAGTCCGGAGTGTCTGGACGTGGAGATAGTGACTGCCAAGTCCTCCGAGATGAATGTGCTAGTGCCTCAGGAGGACGGAGACTTCTCAGAGTTCCCCATCCCAGAACAGTACAAAACAGTGTTCGACTCCAAAAAGAAAAGACTAGTCACTACTTGCTCAGAGAGTCTAGGTTAAATCATACAAACGGCAGCAGCGGATAATATCAGTGAATTAAAAATTGTTGAACTGGACTTGGACATAATATGGAAGACGGAAACTCAGAATCCGATATTTACACCTTATCATTGAATAAGAATTATCAAAACATGAAAAAAAAATCATTTGAAAACAACAAAATTTTGGCCATGGAAAAATTAAGACATTGGCAGGTCGCAATCAACTGTACATTATTTCTTAAAACTGAATTCTGTTATCTGATTGATAGCGAAGTGTTTTAATTCTCTTGCTTGGAGTCCTAGTGAATGACAACATACTTTATTATCCTGAATTCATCTGAATCAGATTAAATTTTGATCTACATTATCCTAGTCTGTGCTATTTGATGCGTTTGTTTTATGTGATGACCGTTGTGGTTTTTTATCGAGATAAATGCATGCCTTCAAATTGTCTTTGATTCAAAGTGCTGAAAATAATTTTTCATCTTTCCAACGATTTTTTTATTGACCACATAAATCAGTTAAATCAAAATCTACAGGAAAGTTGAAATATTCGTTGATACAAATAGGACCATATTTAATTCGATCACTTAATTTAACAGGTATTCTGTACAGTAATTTAAAACAAATAAATTTGTTTCGGTCATCGTCCTACATCTTAATATTTTTACACCTTTGCCAATCAATCATCACAAAAGATGTCTTCATTCAAAAGAATTAAATTTATTTTTAAACTGTTTTGTGACCAACCAGGAAAAAATTTTCATCCTTGTCAAGCTTTGAAGCTTAAGCAGGGGAGTGCTCTATAGGAACACAGCATAAAACTTCTGTGGTAATTTAAGTTTTATGACCAAAGTATCCTAGAAAACGCCTTCGAGCTATATTTGGTTTTACATTTTGTCAAATAGCCAAACAAGTCAATCTCACATCTGGGAACAACGCCAGAAAATTTGAAATTATTAATGAACAAAGATAGCCGGTTGCTGTGCATGCAGCCCAGAAACTACCGTCAGAGCAATGAAAAAAAAATACTGATTTTTCATTTTGTGGTTTTTTATCCGGGACTAGAACTTATGCATATTCGATAGTCTTAATAAATTCAGTATATTGACAATATTTTGTATTCGAATAGAAAAGCAATAAAATTGTTTAAACATCAAAAAGATTTAAATCGTAGAATTTTCAAAAAAATTTTATTCCAAGGAAGGGGTTGATTGAAAAGAGCAAACATTAATTTAATTGGAGTAAATTTAGTTTTCTTGGGTTACTTAACAGCTTGTTTATTTAATTAACAGCCTAGCAAAAGATTTGAAATCGTGACCTAATCTTTTTTTGTAAACAGTCTTTACACATTTCTGCTGACATGTTCAATCTGTCGAAATATCAAATGAAGTACCTCTTAATTCATTTGAGGTAGTATTTAATTATTAAATTTTAATAGATTGAAAAACTGAATTTTTCGGACTTGTGGCTTTCATCTTAGTGTCTGTCGGCTGATTTACCGTTTTTTAAATTGAAATTTATATCTGTTACGATTTTCAAGCATTTTCTTTACAAAGATTAAGTTTTTATTCGAACCATTTCTGTTTAATAAATGGATGGGTTTTGCTGATCTTGACTAAGTTATTTCTTCAGACAATTGGGACACTTTTTTTGATTAGCGCCTACACTCAAACTTTATAGTACTCAGAAAAGTCGAGTTTTTACACTTTTTTAAACTAAATGTTTTATTAAGTTTGCGATTAGCAAGCGTTATCAAACTGGACGAGACTTTTTTTCAAGTTAGAAACTTGCTTGACAGAATCAGTTGTATAGTGATGCATATTGAATTCAAAGTTCTATGCATTCAAATCTGACCAACGGGAAGTATTCTGTTTCAAATAAAATTGTCGGTTAGTTATTGTCTGCCTATCTGTTGTCGGATTAGTTTTCACATCTTGAAATCGTTTTTTTTGCTGCGCGCATTTTTATTTATTGTTGCTTTTAGCGTTTGATATCCTTCTACAGATTTTAATTTTACTTGCTTTGACTTGTATTTTTTCTTTTTTGATTCTTTGCTATGATTCTCGGAAATGTCAAATTTTTGATTAGTTGCCCGTTTTTTGGATTTTTCTCGCTTACAAAACTGCCAGATCTGATATTATAGGTTTAATCAAAACAACAGGCTGTTGAAAGCCTTTCTTTATAACTGGCTATGCCCAGTTTGTTTAAGAAAAAAGAATGATATCAAACATGTCGAAGTCTTCCAATCTTAACAATTTTTTGCAAACTTTTTGCAGAAACTGTTCGCAGTGCTCGTTTTTAGCAGCAACTTTTTTGATTCTTTTCTTAAAGATTACACAATCAAATCTTTCATGAAAAGTTTAACTGAAAGAACCAGTTGCGATAATGTTTTCTGTTGAAGTGGCGGCTCCTTGATTTTTGCTAAGAGAAATGTTATCTCCTAGACAAAAATGATTGTCTCAAACTCTATTACTCTTATAATTTATTTTAGTAGAGAAACAACTAAGGATCTAGGCAAAGCCCAATTTTTGAAATCACATTATTTTTGTGTAGAATAAGTATAGCAAATTCACTCAATATCAAACACATAGCTCCAGCTTTAGCTGGGCCCAGTTGAGTTTTATCTAGACTCGAAGTTTTTCGTTCTAGTTGTTTTCAACTTAAGTTTTTTTTTTCGATTTGTTTATTTTGTCTGTTTGTGTTATATCGCAAGTGATGCGAAGCGCTGCTTTGTCTCTGTGTCTTTAAAACTTCTTTCCTAAATCAGGGTTTTTTTGTTTCAATGAAAATCAACGTTGTGAGAGTTTCCCCGGCAAATGCGGCTCCGCCCAAATTTACCAAACAAAAAGTCATTTGAAAAATCTGTTTTTCCACCGTTTTTTGAAATGTGTTTGAGTTTTGAAAAACTATTCTCGCAAACCTCAAATTTTGGGTTCAATAAAAGAAATGGGACATGGGAAGCTCTCTTGCTTAAGCGGATACTCCCTTAAAGTTATGGTCTGAGGAAAAATCGAGTTTTCGAACTTTTGACCGTTTCTTGGAAACCTTGGCTGTTTTTAAAAACTGTCCTGCAAATTCTCAGATACTTAAATGAATCGACAAAAAAACAGATTGTGTGATACTTCTCTGCATAAGCTGGTACGTCAACTGTGGTTTTGAATCGTGTTATATGTCCGGAAAGATATCTCCAGTATCCATAAAAATAACATATCTGTGATACTGTTTATTTAAGTACATCTTAAGTTATTGATGCAAAGTTTGTGTTCGGCCTTACAGGTCAGTTTTTCAGACTTTGCGGCAACAGACAAGCTATAAACAGCCAAGTCGAACACGATTTTTAGTGTCGACAATCTATGCTACACAAAGCAGTAATGCACCTATTCGTGAAAACCTTGTTTTCATTTTGAGTCTGAAGAATAGAAAGAACTGGTTAACATTATTCCATTGCTCGTACTTTTTTTAAATGCGTGGTGCGGCAAAGATAATCAAACTGAGGGTTCGGATTATGTTTTTTTTTGGCTTAGTTGACTTATGATAATTTCATGAACGCAATTCAAAATGCTGTTATCTTTATCACGCGGGCTATGTCTTGAAAGTATTGATTTCAAAAGGTTTATTTTAAAATGTTGTTATTTTTTTCAGCATGATTTTGAAGTATGAAAATTTTGTAGCTGGATAGTTTTTCGACTAATTTTTTCAGGTATGTGAAACAGAAGGAACATTTTTACAATGGATGTTGCCAAACCTGAGCTATTTAAACATCACTTAAACAACAATTGCTCAGCATAAGTTAAATCAATTATGTCTGATTTTTCTCAGGCAAGCGTGAGGTAGTCATTTATTTGGTAGGCACAAAACGTGTGCCTATACCCCTGAGATTTAATGATTTTTTTCTACTGATTATTTGAAAGTTTTTTGGCGAACTTAGTGTGTCGATCTAAAACTGTGAGGAGTTAAATGAGAATTGAGTGACTGCTACTTGAAAATTCAATTGTTAATTCTGACAGTTTTTCGCAGTGTTCTTCATGTTTTGATATTTTTGCGTAATAGTTTTAGTCATCTTAACAAACTTAAAGCAAGAAGCATAGTGTCACATTTCTAATGTAATTAATCCTCCTACAGTTTTTTTAATTTTCGACCAAAAAATTCAACAACTCATTTGACATTTTTCCTGTGAATATACGTTTTCAACCTTTACTTAAACTTGTCATCTTTTTAATTGTTCTTCTTCGCATTAAATTTCAGTTATATTAGGAGAAATAAAAGCTATCTTATGTTTAAATGTGGCTGATGTTTTGAAAAATTTCGATTTTTGCTGTTGGTTTGCTGTGAGTTTTTCATAATAAAATCGATTTTTCTAACCAAAACTTTTTAGGCAAAACTAGTTTTGAACGAGAATTTTTATTGCTAGTTTTCCCAATGGAAATGAAACTATTTGTTTTGATCAAGATTTCTCAAATTGGGTTTTTTAATCTTCATAATTTAACTTTTTTTTGGAAATTCAAACAACTTTAAGGCTATGAATTTGTTTTCTGATTGGTTTTCTAGCGTTCATCTATTCAATTGTCTATTGGCTATGTTTGTACAAGTATCAGTAAAGGAATAGTTCAGTCTGAAAATTTTTTAGGAAAATGATCTAATCCGGTTGCACATTTTCCGAGGGAAAAAAAGATTTTCGCTATTTTTTTTTTCAAATCATTCTTTAGGTTGGTTAGAGTTCATCAGTATTTTTCTTACTTATCCAAAAGATATCTAATACTATTATGCCTCATTGCCATGTTTTTTTCCTACAACATATATACTTTTTTCGAAATTATTGGAAAAAGAAGAACACAAGCAACGATTGATTAATGTTACCATTTTACTTGTTACCAATATATTCGATATTTCAGTACACAAGTTTCGTAGAACAACGGAAACCTCGTGCGTTTCTGTGCTACTTTATTAAGAACGATGAACATAGTGAAGACTTTTATGTAGATGTTGGTAAAAAAAATTTCAGCATATTGCTAATCATAACTTTTCGTTAAAGATAAAGATCGTTAAAGGCATAACTTTTTCTTTGAAGTTCGAAAGTTGAAGTTTCTTCAAAAACAAGTCTGTATATTTATAGATCGTTTTTCTGATTCCTTGCGCTCATTGACTCTTTCTCTAATGACTGTTGGCTATGTTTTGTTTTCGCTTTGTTCTCTAGTCCGGAAAGTAGTAATGATTGGGGGTTTGTCTTAAAATTCTTGATATCAGATTTTTTCCTGTCTACATTGCAATTTTTTTTTGAGAAATTTATTTTCATTTTGCTTCTTGATTTTCCCAAAACAAAATCGAAGCTTAATTTTGATGCTAATAGCAGTCTACCTCGCAAACCACCGTGCTGAACTCATTCTTTGCACAATAAAGTTGATTGGTAGAGTAATCCGTGATATGTTTCTTTGATAGGTTGCCAGTTCTGGCAGAACATAATCTCTGGTATTTCATAAATTTTTGTAATCGCGGTGTCAAGTTCACAACTCGGCACTCCGTTTACAAAACTTCTAGATTATATATATATTTAAACTGCCTGAACCCCCTACAACTCAGTCGAGCTCTGAAATGATCATCGGGTGTTGCTGCCAATCATCAGTTTTTGCTGTGGGGATTTGATGCGTTTTAAACATTATGCCCTCTATTTTCAACTTTTATGAACTAAACAACACTTTGGAGCTTAGAGCTG